CCAATGGAAATCGATGAAACGTCAGGTTAAGTCTTGCAGCGAGAGTACGGTTTATGGTTGGTTTATCGTTGGCGAAAATAAGCTCGCAGCTGTCGAGGATTTAGTCCTCGAAATTTTTAGGATTGGTGCAAGTTAAATATTTCAATCCTGGGACAGCGGTTGACGCGATAGTTGCACGTATGGCGGATGCCGGGTCAAATGTGACCCGATATTACATTTGTCTCCGTACGCAAGCGAAACTGTATTCGTTTTTTATTACGGTTAATCAAAGATACTATGATTAACCATCGAACGCTTATGACCGTGTCTCACACGTGCACAAATAATCGTTCAATAAGGGCGATTTTATTTAATTTACCTAATTAACCTAGGAATTAATTTAAAAGAATAAAATAAGACTGATTATTTTTGGTGCATGAAGTTGAGAAAAATGTGAACGTTCATGTAATATATAATATAAATTTGATATAACATAAAGAGAGGAGAGTTGTGTAAAGAGACATCTAAAAGCTGGGTCAGCGTTGACCCGTGGAAAGTTAGTTGGCAAAAATTAAAGGCTTACGGTCACATAAACCGCTACCATAAACCTTGGCTCGCTATGAAATCTTTAAAGACGCAAACAGGACAGGCGCGGTTCCTGGAGAAAAAACCGGAAAACTTCCGCTTCCGTGACAGGAGAAATGTCGAGGGCGGAGCTTCTAAAATTTGCCAACGCAAAATTAGTTAAAATTTGCAAGTTGCGATAAGTGAACTAATTGCGAACACGTATTTAAAAAGGTAAGACCTTGCTGCTAAAAGGCTGCAGCTCTATTTTTACCAACTTCGAGTAAGTTAGAGAAATTTTTATAACTTTAAAGGGACAGTTTGTAATTTTATAAACACTTATAATGTACTTGTTAACACTTGTTTACTATCGCTCGTTTGTCATCGAATTTGCATCAAAAGTACACCAAACAACGTCACAACTAAGAAACTGTAAAAAATGGAGCTGCAAGCTCCCCAATTGGCTTTTCCCAACCTAAACAAACCGACCAAAGTGTCGCCAAGACGAGGTTATCGAGAACTCCGCGCAATTTCCGACAGTTTCACACAGTTAAATCGTTGAAGAAAGTCCGAGAGTCCAACGACCAAGACCTAACGCACATCGCAAAATCGCGATCGGGCCCGAAGTTGCACGCGGAAGTGCACCGAATGACGCACTCGCGTTACATTTTCCACGAATTAACCCAGGTGTAGTCAGCTGGTCGTAACGCTCACCTGGTGCAGTGATAGGGCACACCCGATCATTTATCGTCTGGCAAGCCGATTTGTAGTATTACGTTTTATACTATTTTCGAATGTGATATTTGTGAGAAAATCCGTCCCGAAGACGGTGAAGCGAGGCCAGAAGGTGACTCGCCTCTCTGGGGTTTTTCGCGCGGAAAGCGGACAAAGATAGGCAGGACGACGCGCCCTCACTCTTCACGGATATAGTCTTTATGTAAAATACACCGTTGCGAGAACGTAGAAACGTTTAATTCATTTTACGCCCGCCCTACTCCGAGTTAGAGTATTTTCTGACACTTTATAGATCTCGAGTATTTGAATTTTTCTTGCAGTGTTTTTACTTGTTGGATTATTTCTAACAACACCCTATTGTAAAAATACGGTTGAGTGAAGGTAGGGGCTCGGGCCGGTTTATGACCCGAGAGTATTTCTGACATATTTTTCAAAACAGTGGCTTAAAGTCCTATTACCTTTTTCACACGATTCTTGGTACATTTGTGGTTACATTTGAAACCACACGCGTATAAATAGAGCTGACAGTGGATAGCCAAACACTTGAAAGGGTTACAAACCGGAAAGGGTTAAAGGGCTGCTGCACTGTCCTTCTCGCGTGAAACCAGCGTTTTTACGCGTTACAGTCGCTAATTAGACTTCTCCAGGATGCGAGAGCGTCACGATCGGCGCGGATTCGTTTCGAACTGTTCGAGTGAAAAATGGGAAACGCGTGACGACGGGTGGCGAGGGAACAAGGAACGACGAATGAAACGCGAATTAACATTGTACATTGTCAGCGTGGCGAACGAAGGATAAAAACGAAGCCGCTCTTTGTGCCCGAGGAAAGGGCACCGAGCGTGACGAATCGTGCCAGATAACTTCTCCAAATGAGATTTACACTGAACACTTTGTTCGACCATTTTTTTCCTCGCATCACTCTCGATAAGCAGTGTACCGTTTTTGCCAGTATTATTCCGCGGAACTTTTTTTAACGCGAGGGTCGTTCGACGAGTGAAGAGACAAAGAGTAGTGTCCGTTGGAAAAATGTCTATAAAAGAAGTACGATAGTTGGAGATTCCCAAGTTGCTATCCTTGTCGTCAATTTAAAATACCTGCTTGACAACTATTTTCAGTATACGTAAAAGAGAAATGAAAAATTAGGCTTACAGAGCAAATCTCGTTTATCTCTTTGATAGTGAAATGTGGAAATGTCTAAATAAGGAGTACGATAGCTTCGAAGTGGTGGGTCGCTATTTCTCTCACTAATTAAAAACAGTTGTTTGACAACTCTTTCGGTATTTGTTAAATTATTACGAGAAATGAGTGCGTCTGTGTAGTGGTAACAGCAAAAATGAGCAATATACTGAGACAGGTTAATATAAACATATGTATATAGAAGAATGACACAGTAACCCTCTCTTTAGTATGGCTGGACGATGATATTTTTTTTCTTTCGCGTCTTGTCGAGCTCTTATCATTGTGTACTGATGTGCCTTCCTCGCGTGTAAAATAAAGAACAGTTTTATAGTTGTAATACCACATTTTAATTCATTGCCTAAATCCAATAGTATACAGAAAAAATAAATTAAAAATTAGGCTTGAAGGTCGCCACCACATCCGTTTCATAGACCAAATCTCGTTTGTCTCTGATAGTGGAGCGTGAGAGATACCCTGCCACATATCTATCCAAATACAGCATCTTCTATTAAAAGTATATCATCTTCGTGATGTTGAAAGGGTAAGTGTAACTTAGGTATAGTCGGTGAAAGAAATATAACGAAGTCGTAAGATCGATCAGGAGTCGAAGTTTACACATTCGAGCTCATCGACAAGCAAATCTACAGGAACCTGAGAGGAGTGCCCAAAATCTGTCAGAGTCACGTAAAGAGTACGTCTTAACTTTGATTCAGTTCCCATCGAGAAACGTAAAATATCGCATCTCGGTGTATCTTACAGCCTCCCTACATTTCTTCCAACGATTATACTCAACGAGAAACACGTGAAAAGCGACTTCGAAGCAGAAAACCTTCAGGCACCCTGAAAATCTCGTTTCCGTGTAAATCTCGATCGTTCATCGACGTCGTTCTCTAGCAGTGTTAACCTAATCTCTCCTTCATATTATTACTGGACGATGTTATTACCACTGGCGGCAGTTAGCGAGGACAGTCGGGGTCGGTCTAGGCCAGAAATAGTGGAGTGGCGAGTGGTAGGACAGCCAGAGCGGAGAGCACACGATTCTCCCATTTACACTGAGAGCAGCGATATTGTTGTTCTGTAGGATGCCAGGTCGGTGCAATCGTCCAGCCGGAAGCAATTGGTCGCGGCCCGTGCAAAGGGGGAACTCTCTCGCATCGTGGTGGTCGCGTTCGACGCGGCGAACATTCGCGTGGCGCGCGTGTATTCTCGGATAAAGTGGCAAAGAGGAGGCACCGGAAGAGAGAGAAAATACAGGGGCAGGTACGCGTCGCCTCGAAAAGTACACGACGGCCGTCGTGTCGCGCGTCGCGACGAAACCGTGGAAAGAGGCGAAATTTCAGCGTCGACGACTCGCGACGCAACGCCATTTCTAACGATTATTTACAAGCGGCCAAATGGAATTGTTTACCGATGCGAGCGATGCCAAACGAAACGGTTCGTTGCTCCACACTCGGAATATAATGCCCTCTCTCCTCCTCTTCCTCTTGCCAGCGACTCAGGATAACTCGCGAAATTTCTGCCAAGAGACGGTGTGTCGGTCTTCTCTTGGCCCGTGCCAGAAGGCGCCGCTATTAGTCGCTATTGCGATTTCTTGCCCTAAAAGATGGAGTTTCCCCGTGCCAAGGTCTAAATGGTATCGACCGATACTGAAACTTCCACCGTCGACCAATACTTACAAACACACGCTCCAGTTACGTTTTTCTCTTTATTACTGTACCAAATTTAATCCTTTCGACGGGGTGTACTCTTCTCTCAATGTGGAATAGCATGGTAACACGAGAAGATTTTACAACGCACTTTTTTTTATTTTATAATACAACATTATCAATTTTTCAGTTTCATTCTTTTAACGATATACTATGGCGGGTGGGTTGTGGAAAGAAGAACGTCTAATAAGAGACAGGATAGTCCAGGAGACCTATGGTCTTATAGTGGACGATTAGACTCAGGTTGAAAGTTGTATATATACAAAGAGGAGCCCTTAGCGAGGACTAGCGAGAACGGTCAAGGGTCCGTCCCTCTGGTGGTGGAGCGCAGGAGGTACCGCCATAGAACATTAACACTATACAGCGACTTACTAATATTCGGACACTATTTAGAACAGTATAACTTTTTAAAAATTGGACCTAACAACTTAAGTTTTTTTTCAGAAGTTCGAAGGATTGGTGTACTAGATGACGCGTGCAAAATATTGCAATTTCTGGGAATCGTGATGAAAATTGTAAAGGTCACTGTTTCCAACATTTTCATCTGAGCTTGTAACGGAAATCGAAAACATACGTTTTGTAGATCTACGTGAATTATACGCATGCTGAAAAGTTCATCGAAATCGGTTGACGGAGGAACAATGTAAGAATCTTGAGATTTATTAGTTATAGGCAGAAAATCGCGAATACCTGCGATTTTCACAATTTCAACCGTTTGTAGCTGACAGCAACATCAACCGATTATACGTATATACGTAAAATTGCTAGCACGTTTTACAAAGAACGGAGGAATCGAATAACTTTCAGGTAATCAGAAAAAGAGATTATGAGACTTACCGCGATCACGTGCTCCCCCTTGCCAGCCTTGCCGATCAGGTCCCAGTCGATCGTATCGACGTAACATAGCGCAGGATTCTTGTCGAATCTCACCGAGCCCCTGACAATGGTCGTTAGGCTACGCAGCCCGATCTCCTGAAGGTTCATCATCTCGAACACTACCAGGGCGTAGTTGATGAACAACGAATGGCCTCGAATCACGGTCAGGTTGGGGAACAGGCGACCGATGCTTCGTAACCCCTTTACCCTACAATACACACACGTACACACACACGCGTATAACGCCATACGCGTGGAATAAGAAAAAAGAGAGAAACAGAGAGAGAGAGAGAGGAGAGGCGATTTGTGAATGGGAAATCCGGCTCGTCGAGCATGTGCTTTACGAGGCTTGTAAAAAGTGGCGAAGAAAGGGGAAACTAAAGAAGGAACACAACGGCGAGATAATAACGACGTTACAACCGACACAGGAAGTTTAGTGACCCTCGACGATGGAGGAAGTCGTGTCGGGACAGACGATCCGCGTACACCGTATACTTCTCTCTATACTTTCAAAACGAGACACACTACTGTCTCTCTATCTCTCTCTTCTTCTGCTGCTGCTACTGCTGTTCGCCTTGTATTGCTTCTTCACGATCCACGCGTGCACACACGCGGATGATTTATCGCGCGGGCTCCATCCATCGCGAGCGTTTTTGCTCGTCGTGGACGCGCCGTTTCGACCGCCAACCCAGCCAAGACGCGACATTACCAGTGGCCTCTGCAGCTCCACACAATTCAGACACTGTGTATGTACACGTATGTATACACGTATACCGTTAAGGAATAATGCCGGGCGGATTATGGTGGAAAGTCGAGCGGGATCTCTGGATCGTGCAAGTTGGACGAGTGATAGTGTAACACGGTTAGAAGAGTAAAATCTGGTTGGTATAGCCGGTAGAAGAAATACAGCGCTGAAGTGGCAAACATTGGGGAGGTGTGCCTTCGATTTCGTTCAGTTTCGATCGATTGAATTAACGAATTTTTACAACCTCGATATATTGCTTCCACCGACTATACGCTTTTCTGTTCGGTTCATCACTGAATATAATTCTGGACAACAGTAGGAGAGAGTTCATGCTGAAAATACGCGAACAAAATTGTCTCGGTTTCAGGTTAAAACTGCAACTACCAACTACGTTAATAGCTGATTAATTTATAGATACTTGGAATATAAAAGGAAACGCGATATACCGCGTTAGAAGATGGTAAAAATTACCTGTAGAATAGCAGGTATCCAGTGATCTCTTTCAGCTCTGGGAAAGAGATGTTGGCGTACTCCTGCGGCTCAGCATTGTCGATCAGCAAAATTTGTAGATAGCCTTCGATTACTCGGCATCCTTTCAGTCTTGAGAAAAAAGTCACGCTGTTTCTTATGTCTATGCTTTGGCACACTGTAAAACCAAGAGAAAAACCACCGTACAACTTAATTACGCTCTCTTTTTTATTTTTTTTTTTTTTTTATTTTAAAGGAAAAGTGTAGAAAAATGGACGCGACGAGAGTTGAAAGGAAGCACAGTGTTTCGGGGATATCGATCGACTTCTTCTTTGCTCACGGCGAGCACACGCGAGCGAAAACAATGGGTTAACGATGAAGTAAAGGGGTGACCGACGGGACCGCTGCAACCGCACCGATTACGCTTCATTAACGCTCCACCACGGGCAAACGAAACTCAGGTCTTAACCTGACTAGATCGCTGATATCCGTTCTTTATACTTCTGCCCACAAAACCAGACCGACCCGTGCGTCTTCCAAGTTATTCCAATTAGGTATTCGGAAGAGGGTCCTGAAACGTATAGTCGGTAGAAGAAATATCGCGTGGCAAAGACGTGAAAGTTTACACGGTGAATCAAAAGATATCTGAGAATTTCGTCCGACTTTTCAAGTACAGAAGTTTCTTTTTGGCTTTTTCTTTGTTTTTCCGATTTATTTCGAAATTGAGCAACTTTTTAGATTTTTTCCATTCCCCGAATTTCGGTCTAGAAAATTTTCGAAGAAGCTGTAGGCTATTGCTTCAGAAAATATTTCGGAGAGAGTCTTGAAAAATTTTTAAACGTCCACTTTGACCATCCAGAATTTAATAAAATTCTTAAATTCTGGACTCTGGTCAGACATGCACACGAATTCTCGAAGAATAGCCAATCGACCCTCTAGAAATTTTTCAAATGTAATTTCAATCGTACAATGTAAGATAGCCAAAGCTTTTCAAAGGTTGAGAGAATTTTCAATTATTAGGTCAACAATGAAGTAACCGCGTGGACATATCATGGACAATCGCGTCTGAACAGAGAACAGAGAGTGGGTCAAACACTGCAACGCGATTTTTCTCACTGACATTGTTAATTCCGAACGTTAAACCACCCATACAACGAACTCCATCGAGATATCTCTATACATCCTACAATAGTACTTTGTGTACGACCATAATGAATGGTACTAAACACTTACGAACAGCCAGTGTATATACCGCGAAGCTATTACACTCTTGTGTAAACCGCGGTCGTTTTCTAAATACAAGGAACATCAGAGATCCTCACGCGTCGTTTGCTTTGTCGAGCTGGCGTGCGCGCGCCCGCGTCAACAGCGAACCAAGAATACCCGCGGACAATTAACCGCGGGTTAAAAGGCTGCGGCGATTTAAACGGTGGCGCGGCGAAGCGATGAAACGAGACGAACGCGTGCCTAGATGAAGCGAGTCGCGCGCGCGCGCGCGCACCCTCCTGTTTATCCCAATGCCACACAGTCGTCTAAGCGCGTATATTTTTAGTTGAAGCGCGGCCCCCCCGTTACAATCGAGTCGACACTTCGCCACGGCTGTTCCAACGTCGACGACCACACGTGGACCGACACGCCATTTCGCCACGCGTGCACACAGTAATTCGATTACCAGCCTGATTCCGCGTTTTCCCTCCGCATTGCTACACGCACTCTACCACGTCGTTATGTGTTTTCTTCAGATATCGCGTGAATTCACCGTTAAAGCGGAAGTTTCTGTTGTTAGAACGATAAATTTCGTCGAATCTTCACTTTTCTTTTATCGAGTCGAAGTTTTAAGTTGGAGAACACGGGAAGATAAAGCTACAATGGCCATTTTGGGCTTGCTATAGTCTGTCACGATATGCATTGACCGACCTTGACACATTCTGGGCAATGACTAGAGAGATCACTTTTGGTAATCGATAATTAGGCATCGAAGTTTCGATTCAGAGAATAACTTAGGTGCAGAAGAAGTGTAGAAACTGTGTTCATGGCGAGACATATGCTAGGATGGCCATTTTGGGGTTGCTATAGTCTGACTCGATATGCATTGACCGACCTTGACACTTGTTGGTCAACCACTAGAGAGATCACTTTTGGTAATCGATTATTAGGCATTGCAACGAATTAGCATAGTTAAATATATTTTTGAGAGAATCAACCTATTGAGTAATTCATGCACCGCCCCTTCTAGATTTCCTATTGCAGATATAGTTAAATGTACAGTCGATGGAAGAAATATAAGGAGAACGTAAACTGAATCTGAGGTTGTTACGAAAATCCGAATATTCGGCACAATTCAAAATCCAAACATTTCAAATATTCGAATTATTCGAATACTTGGACTATTCGAAATTTTAGCACGCCACATTTCACCTCTTTCGGCCGTGATTGAATTTGCTTTATAATATGCTCGAACATGTAAATTTTCACGCCCTACGCTCTCCCTATATTTCTTCCACCGGCTATACCTTCTAACGTAATTAATCCATATCGAGTATATTCACGTCGAAATTTTGCAACCTTAATCGACATCATGCATCTATACATCGTTCAAAATAAGAGTAACCTCGCTCTCGGACCGATTCTCGTCCGTTCTGCGCATAGACAGAGAGCGTAGCAGAGAGTAAGACGGAGAAAAACGTAAGCGGTTCGGACGTTATTAGGCACGTCCCATGCGCGAAACGAGGTTACTCTTATTTTGAACGATGTATACACACAAAATTTCATATCTTCCAACTGTGATTCAATTTGCTTCATAACACCCCTCCCGCTATATTTCTTCCACCGACTATACCTACCTACCTCTAACGTGATAAATCCGCGCCGGGTATATTCACGCGCTTCCTTCCGATTCCATGCGACAAAATTATCGCCCCTCGATTTTTTTCCTTTCATTCTATTTCTTTTGTTTCGCGTTTCTCTACAGACACGGAGAGTTTGCAGAGAATCAAGTGCACCGGGGAGAAGATCGACCGGAGACGGTCGTTTTCCTTGAGCCGCGGACGAAAATCGAATGGGACGAGCCTGGACGTCACCTGCGCCCACGCGCAACGCCTACCGAGGCTATTTGTCATCGGGCGATTTTTTAACACGTCGCCACCGATCGGAGGCGACTTGCAAGGATATTTCGGTGTATCTTAACTGCTGGCGAAGTGGCTACAGTAGCAACTCTGTATTCACATGCGGCTGTACGTAAGTAAGAAGCAATTAACACGTTTGCGATAAATAATATCTCCCTTCTGTATAACATTTTAACACGTTACCAACAGAATAAACTGCAATATTTCTAGAAAAATTGATAAACAGCTCTGTGCTAGGAAAATGAATAAACGAGACGTCATTATATCTATTCATAATGACAGTATTATGGAACAACATTTCAGGAATACAAATAGATGTCTAAGATTTGCTAACAATATTTCGACAGAAATTAGAAAAATCTCGGTACTAGGAAAATTAACAACGTTAAACTTGAACGACGAATCGTTATATCTATTATGTAGGAGGTAGTCTAATGAACTTTACTCAAATCAGGATGTCGTGCAAAGTAGTTTATTCGGACTCTTCGGCGTCCGTCTCGACTCTCGTCGAATGGCAAAGTTATCGCTGGGCCGAACCGATGGATACTCAAGAGGCGCAGACCAAGCCATAAACCGCCCCAAAATGCCTCCAACTGCAATAACAATATTACCGAACAGAGTTTCCTAGAATAGTGTCTGAGAACGAGTGACACGCTATACAATGATAAATCTACCTAATGGCAATGTTGCGTCGTGATGATTACTTCCCTCAATTCCTCATTAAAACACTCGAAACACGTTCACTTTGACTCCTAACCACTTTTACAATTTCGCTACATATTTCTTCCGTCAACTATACATAATACGGCCCTGACTACGAATTCGTGTCCTTATTTTCTCGTACTTCCCTCAATGCCTCGTTAAAACACTCGAAACACGTTCACTTTGACTTCTAACAATTTTTACAATTTCGCTACATATTTCTTCCGTCAACTGTACATTATACGGCCTTGACTGAAGTTTCGGCTTCTTATCTTCTCATAATTCTCTTAATCCCTCGTTAAAACACTCGAAACACGTTCATTTTGATTCCTAACCAATTTCACGATCTCTCTCTATATTTCTTCCACCGACTATACGTTTACGAACGAAGGCACAGCGAAAGAAATCAAGGTAAAAGTGTATAAATTTAGTGGCCATTTAAACGGGTGGAAATACTCGCTTAAGGAGCAATGCTCTGCTTTCTGACCTGGAACACCAGATTTTCCTTCCGATCGAGTACTTACCCGTCGCAGACCACTCCAAACGGATATCTTATCGCCGCGTTTAACGGACAGCCGATATCGATTCCACACCGTGAATTCGTGTTCGGTGGATCAACTTTACTGCAACTAATCCAATTTTACATTCTCCACCTATCATAACTACAATTAAACTTCGTCGACCATCCAACGTGATTCCACTGCTTCTTTTTTTTTTATCATCTCGCAATCACGCGATCCGATAGCGACACGTAAAGTATATCTGATAAGCGAACTTTCAAACATAGAATTTTGACTTAGAGGAGATTTTTATCCGTCTATTTTCCAACGAAAGAAACGAAAAACTGCGATCGATCTTTTTTCGAAATAGCAGTAAATCCTTGCAAGCTGGTTCTCGAAGTAAAAGGTTCCTTTGAAAGTGCAACCGCGTATGCAAATGTAACGGTTGTTACCGCTTACCTACTGCATTATCGGCAGAAAATAACACAAGCAACCGGTTATACGGTATACTGATATCAGAATGTTCAGTTTCCAATAATGATGCTGATAAGCAGCTTTGACATATCGGAAATATTTGGTATTCCTCTCTATACTCTGTTCAAAATGAGAGTAACCTCGCTTCGCGAATGGGACGTGCCTAAGGCACTTAACCGTCTACGTTTTCCTCCGTCTTACCCTCTGCTACGCTCTCTGTCTATGCGCAGAACGGACGAGAATCGGTCCGAGAGCGAGGTTACTCTTATTTTGAACGACGCATAACTGTATCTCCTCTCTTCGGAACTTCGGAATATGTACACAGAGATTTCCCACATTGGTCAAACTCTACCGTGAGACTTCTGTATCGCTGCTTA